CCTTTGAAAAGTGGGTATGACATACTAAATATATTCTCTCTTTTCTTTCTCTCGTTTTTCTTTCTTTCTTTCTGTTTATTTATTATTATTTTTTTATTATATTTTGTCTCTTCTTGTTTTGTTTTGTTTTTGTTTTTTTAATAATCTGTTGTCTTTCTTCATTATTTATTTTCATGTTTTTTTCTTTCTTTCCCGTTCTATTTCGTAATTTTTTCGTCATTTTTCGTCTAATATATATATATATATATATATATATATATATATATATATATATATATATATATATATATATATATATATATATATAAATATATATATCATTCTCTCTCTATTTCTATCTGTTTATTTCTATGTTCAACACACTTCCATTCTCTGCAATATACAGAGAAAAAAAACGCGGAACATTAATCAACTATATATCTCTGTATCATTATTGCAACCGTGCACGTACTCACAGACACACACACGCACGCACACACTCTTTCTCTCTCTCTCTCTCTCTCTCTCTCTCTCTCTCTCTCTCTCTCTCTCTCTCTCTCTCTCTCTCTCTCTCTCTCTCTCTCTCTCTTTCTCTCTCTCTCTCTCTCTATCTATCTATTTCTCTCTGTCTCTCTCTATCTGTCTATCTATCTCTATCTCTATCCCTATTTATCTCTATCTCTATCTCCATCTCTATCTCTATCACTCCCTTTCCCTCTCTCTCTATCTATCTATCTATTTCTCTCCATCTCTCTCTCTCTCTCTCTTTCTCTATCTATCTATCTATCTATCTCTATTTCTTTCTCACGCACAACACCCCCTCCCCCCCCTACCGTGTGCTGTGCCAGCCCTCCGTGGCACCCGAGGAATACCAATGCCCCGCCACGGGTTTCTGCGTGGGCTGACGGCTGCGAACGATTATTATTATTATTATTATTATTATTATCGTTATTATTATTATTATTATCATTATTATTACTACTATCATTATTGTCATAATTATTATTATTATTATTATCATCATTGTCATTAGTTTCACCGTCGTCATCGTCATCATTGTCATCATCATTGTCTTTATTATTCTTAGCATTATTAAGAGACCATAACTAACAGTAGTATCAGTAATAGTAGTGGTAGTAATAATAATAGTAGTAGCAATAGTAGTAGAAGTAATAGTAGTAGTAGCAGTAATAATAGTAATAATAGTAGTAGAAATAGTAATAGTAGTAGTAATGATAATAGTGGCAGTAGTAATAGTAGTACTAATAGTAATAGTAATAGTAATAGTAATAGTAGTAGTAGTAATAGTAATATAAATAGTAGAAATAGTAATAGTAGCAGAAGCAGTAGTTTTTGCCATTGTCTCAATAGTAGCAGCAGCTCAATAGTAAAAATAATAATAATAACAACACCAGCTGTATGTACTGTATTTGCTTGCTTGTCCAGCTGCACTCAGTCAGAACAGCGGTACAGGTTTCCGTTTCTGTCGCTTAGCGTGAAAACCAAATCTTTTCGTGCAACGCAACGTCTGACACTTTGAGAATTTTTTGCCATAGAATCGTTTAACTTTGTATGTTTTTTTTTTGTGTGTGTGTTTTTCGGTTCACCTTTGTTCAGGGTGATGTTTTACGACTGGAATTGTGAATTGTTGAGCTATGCAATGGGGCAAGATTATGAATGAGATGCTATAAGCTTTCACTCTCTTCCTTGGGAATTGTTTCGTTTAACTTTCCATTAGCATTATTTAACTTTTTTTAGTGTTATAATGTTTTAATCTTCCGTTGTTATAAAGTTATGATCATCCTCTTCCGAATTCTGTTAGTTTTGTTTGTTTGTTTTTTTTCAAGTTTCAAATTTCGCGTTTATTCTCACCTTATCTTTGTCTCTTCTCTCTACTTCTTTTGCTTTAATCTCTCATTCCTTACATTCCACCTTTCATATATTTTTTTCCTTAAATTTCTTAATTGTTTCTCAATTATATTCTTAAATTTATCTTTTTCTTCTGCTCAGTCTCACAATATATTCTCTGCTGTTTCGATTATCACAAACAACCAAGACACCAAAATACGCCGAAATAAACGAAACAAACAACAGATTTCTTAAACAATACGAGAAAACTGCTGAAAGTGGTTGTGACGTCACATTTACCCTGGGCGGAATTTAGGAAGGCTGAGCACGGTGGCGATCGTACCTTGGCATTGGCAGGATCTTGTTAGCAATGATACTGTTGTATTGGCTAAAGTACGCATTGGTGACACGCATATTTATAGAGATTTTTTTTTTTTCCCATTAAATTTCATACGAGTCGTTCTCTTATGAAATCGTCATCCTCTGACTGATAGGCCTATATTTTATTTATTTATTTATTTATTTATATGACTTGTCCACAGAATTTTCTCATTACACTTTGTACGCTCATGTAACCCACGTATATAAAACATAAAATTGTTATCTAATGTTTACTATTTTTAGCCTTTACGAGTGTTTTTTTTAAGTTATTTGAATAAACAATGATAGATAGTCTAGTGATTAATATCATGAGAAATCCATGGTGCTATAACGTCCATTATTTTACAAGCAAGATTACACAATATAGTTTTCATAACTAATCTTTCAGTATCCTGCAACAGACTGTCCCAACATCTATTTAATAGACTGTCCCAATATCTATTTAACAGACTGTCCCAATACCTATTTAACAGACTGTCCCAATATCTATCTAATCGACTGTCCAAACATCTATTTAACTGTATTATATCAATTATATCAATTCATCTTTCCCAATTCCTTATCTTCCCTCTTTTCTCCCTTTCCCTTCCAACCTTTCCCCCACCCTTTGCTTTTGTCCTTATTGCAACCTTACATCTTGCATCGTTGCCGGCCTGTTGTTTGTTATTGAACTCGCCAGAACTCTTAGTCTGACACAGAATTGATCCGAATAGCGAGCTCTGGCAACCCCCATCCCACGCAACTCTACTCTCGCGTAACATCGGTCGGCAACATTTTTTTTTTCTCTCTCTTTCTTTTTTTAATTGTCTGTTATGTTGTTGTGGTCGTTGTTGTTAGAGGAGGTGTTTTCTTTTTTTCTTTATCTATTTTTTTTTTAATGTCGAGTTCTCAAAATAGCTGTTGTAGAGTTTTAAATGGTAATATGGATCGTTTTGAATGGATTTTATGCTATGCTAATTTTTTTTTTCTCTTTTTTTTCTTTTTCTTTTTTTTCATTGTAATCCGAGGGGGTTGTTGAAGGTGGGGGGGGGGGGGATTAAGAGGAATGGGGAAGGGGGAAGGAGGGAGGGGGTAAGGAAGGAAAGGGAGGGAGGGAGGGGGGCAAGGGGGGGGAAGGGAGAATGTTCAGAATTGGCATCACTATATCATACCTGCGCGTGTCAAGGTCCCCGGTCACCTTTCTTGTCGGAGGGGCGTAAGGGCGAGAGTTCCGTCCGGGCAAAGGCGGAGATGACCCTAATCGCCGGCCGCGAGGAAGGTCGAGTTTGCGCCGCCGTGCCCCCGGGACACCACTCCCCTCCCCCACACTGTGCGCTGAATACTTACTCGCCGTGTGCGTGCGTCCGTGCGTGCGTGCGTGCGTGTGTTCCTTCTTGCGGATTAGGGCTGAAGGAATCGCCACTCTAAGGGCGCCCGTGAAGGAGTTTAATCCTGTTTTCGGCCTCCATTCCGAGCGACGCGTTTCAGCGCTTCGACGTCCCTCTGGCGGCGGACTTCGCAAGCTCGACGACGCGGCGGGTCGGCCTCACACCTCGAGAGAAGGGCGAAGTGTCATTCATCTTTCTCTCTCTCTCTATCCTGACTTTCGTATCACCGCACGCCCGCCCGCCGCCCTCGCTGACTTGCCTCCACAGTTACGGCGAAAGCAACTCCAGCAACATAATTCCAGGACAATGACGTCACGACCGCCTCCATGGCCTCTCGGTGACGTCACACACACCTCCATGCCGGGCCGCCGACGTCACCACCTTTTCCTCGCCCGCGGAACTCACAACACGTCTTCCTCTATCACGCTTTATGAGAACGGCGGTTTTAATGCAAAGGCTTAGAGTCCCGGCACGTTCTGTACAGTGACAGGGCAATTCGATAGACAAGGGCAGCGATCTTTTAAACGGGACATACATGGAGATACAAACGCATATAAACACATATACACACACATACACGCACATACACACACACACACACACACACACACACACACACACACACACACACACACACACATACGCACATACACATAAACAATCACACAAACACAAACATACACACACAAACACAAACACACACATGCACACACACACACACACATACACACACACACACACATACACACACACACACATGCAGTCGTCTCATGAACCCAACGCACATACGCCCCGCCCCAACCTGGTTGTGTGACCAAGCATGTCATGGGATGTCATGAGCGAGGCATAAGTTCATGCACAGAGAAACTACGTAAAAGTGAGATTTACGGGATCGCTACTGCTGTGTATGTGTGTGTGTTTGTGTGTGTGTGTGTGTGTGTGTGTGTGTGTGTGTGTGTGTGTGTGTGTGTGTGTGTGTGTTTCATTCGTCTCCCTCTTCCTCCTCCTTCATCTCCTTGTTCTTCTCGTTCTCTCTTGTTCTTGTTATTCGTCTTCTTCTTCCTGTTTACCTCCTCCGCTTCTTGCTCCTTCTACCCTTATTTTTTGGCTCCTTTACTTTTCTCTTCCTTCTCCTTCTCATTCTCACCCCCCCCCTTCTCTTCCTCTTTCTCTTCTTTTTCTTATATCTCCTCCTCCTTCTTTCTCTTCTTATTATTCTTTTTCTTTTCCTCCTCCTCTTCCTCCTTCTTCTCTTCCTCCTCCTTTTATCCCTTCTTCTTCCTCTTCTTTTCCTTTTTACCTACCCTATTCTTCCTCCTCCTCTTCCTCCTCCTCCTCCTCTTCTTATTCTTCCTCCCATTCCTCCTCCTCCTCCTCCTCCTCCTCCTCCTCCTTTCTTTCTTTCTCTTATCTACTACTCTGAAACCACATTCGGCATCGTCCCCTAAACTAGTTTATTCAGAGCGCCGCAAGAGAGCGACTTACTTACTTACTTAGCCGCTGACTTACCATGTTCAGCACGGTGAGATCAGCCTCCGTCATGCAGAGTGTCATGCGCCTGAAAATGAAAACATATACGTCAGTCACAGAGGATTTGCATGTGGGTCATGACACATCCCGAGCGCTTATATGTCAGCCCGGGTGCCTGGTGCCAAATATGAGTGATGTGCGTATGTTTATTATTATATACATACATACGCACACAAGCAGTATATGAACCTATCTATCTATTCAACAAAATATATTTATCTATCTGTTTATCTATTTGTGTTTGTTTGTTTTTTCTGTCTATTCATCTATATATATTAGTTTGTCGGTGACATTCATATTTGAATACATATATGCAATATATTCCTAGCATAACAAACTGCAGTTACTTGTCCAGACACGTGGACAAATATATATCACTTATAACGAAAAAAAATAACGAAACGTAACACGAACAAATACAAAACAAATACCACAAGATACCACAGCATCCATAGAAGCAAAATTGAAGTTTTTAAGATACTTTAGCAAAATAACAATAAACAGTTATAGGCTAAACGATCCCCTCCACAGTAATTGAGGAAGTGTTTAAGGAGTGACTACCGGTCCTTAATTACTATTACAACAACAATATTTTTTTCATTTAACTATTTATATATTCGTTTGATATTGTTAGTGTCATTTTTTTTTCTTTTTTACTTGACACGTTAAAATAAAAGAACTAAATGTTTACTGCAACCCTCTCTATCTTTCTCTTTCTCTTTCCCTTTCCCTTTCCTTTTCCCTTTCCCTTTCCCTTTCTCTCTCTCTCTCCCTCTCCCTCTCCCTCTCCCTCTCCCTCCTCCCTCTCCCCCTCCCTCTCCCCCTCCCTCTCCCCCTCCCTCTCCCCCTCCTACTCCTCCCTCCACCTCTTCGTAATCGTCACCAACAGAATAAAGTTTTTTTCACCCAAAATTAAAAAAAAAAGGGAAAAGCGTCCTTCCTATGCGACAGAAATCCGGAAGATCCACAAGCGGTGAAAAACCCGCCTTTATTTCCGAGGTCCTTCAGCCGGGCGCCGTCATTTTTCGGGTCAATAGCGACAAGTGCGCAACGAAGCTCGACATCCTCGCACCAGAAAACACGAAAATTCTTTGATGCAGGTGGAGAAATCCTGCAATATATATATAGTCACACACGCCTGCTCATACGCGTCCAGATACGCACATATAGACACACGCGCATATGTAAACTTTTATATACATACATATATACAACACTCACACACGCACGCAAGCTTGTACGCACACGTAAGCATGTACGCACACACGCGCCCAAACACACACACACACACACACACACACACACACACACACACACACACACACACACACACACACACACACACACACACACACACACACACACACACACACAGTCCGTTCATTCACACCACAGATTCCATATCCATCACCGGCGTCCTGTGGAAGTCGCAGCGGCTGCCTCCGTCATCAGAGGCGGCGTCGGGCAGGGAACAGAACGACCGGACTGCAGCGGACAGGAAATGGTCGTTGGTCGTTGTGCTACGAGGATCGTCTCTGGCTACAATTTGCCGCCATCGCGCTATAATTTTCCAGCTGGCGGCACGCGCTCGGCCGACCACCAGAGAACATGCAAAGGAAGGGCGGCGCAGCGGAACTGAGATCGAGACGCGCATGCAAATAGCTCTTCCTGTCCCTCGCGAAGACCACGGGAAGGGGCGCTGGCTGGACGGGGGGGAAATTAATCATGCACCTGGATCGTCCTGCTCGCTAGCACACGATTCTGGTGGGATAATCAAGCGAAATTGATATTAATTCTCTTAAACAAGCCATTGCGCTCTGACATGCGTATTAAGTCACTTCGGTTTGATATCTATTGTATCCGAACAAGCGGACCCCATATGTCATATTCACCAGCACATGGCGCTTCCTACATGTCTTACTTTTATCAAGATGTAGAGGTCCTACGTCTTTTTTTTATCAAGACATAACGGCCCCAAATGACTTTCTTTTTTATCAAGACATAGCGGCCCCGCATGTCAGGCTTACGTCAGCCGTTTTCTCGACAAGTCTCCCATGCTTTGGGCGAGTGAGGAGGGCGAAGCGGCCGCCCTTGCAGCAGCGTGCCTGTGACACCCTCCTCCCCCGCCAGGTATTCCGCCTTCATTCTGCTGTCAAGGAGGGTCATCGGCCAAGTGACAAGAAGGTGACTGTTGTTCCGGATCACTTTCACCGACAATGCGACATTTTCTGCGTTTGTTGTAGTTTTGTCTCATTCTTATATGTCGGTATAAAATCTGGTTTTGGTAGTTTTTAATGACCGGATGCCCTTCCTGACGCCAACCCTCTCTATTTACGGACTTGGGCTGGCTTGCCCACCAGGTGCCTAGATTCCGACAGTGCGACATCACTGAACTACAAAATTGGCCCCTGTAGCGTTGCGAAAATGGCCCGTGTTGCAGGGTGCAATTGCTAATGTGAGCCACACGTTTATCCACCACTTATCTGCATTACTAACACTCCGACTGCGGGCACACCGGAGCACTTCCACAGCACCACTGGGCCAAGTGTTTCAACGTCTCTCTTCTTCCTCTTTCTCGTCCTTCACCTTCATTTTGTCTTTATATATTCCTTTTCTTCATTCTTATCCTCCGCCTCTTCCTTTGTCTTCTCCGCCTCTTCCTCCTCCTTCATCCTCCTTCCTCCATCCTCCTCCTCTTCCTCCTTCCTTCGTCCTTCCTCCATCCTCCTTCCTCCTCCTCCTCCTCCTCCTCCTCCCCCTCCCCCACCTCCTCCTTCCTATTCCTCCTCCTCTTCCTCCTCCTCCTCCTCCTCCTCCTCCTCCCTCCCCCTCCCCCACCTCCTCCTTCCTATTCCTCCTCCTCCTCCTCTTCCTCCTCCTCCTCCTCTTCCTCCTCCTCCTCCTCCTCCTCCTCCTCCTCCCCCCCCCACTCCCCCACCTCCTCCTAACGTAACAAAATCACAGCCAGATGGGAATGACGTTACTATGTGTTACGGTAACTGTTCATTTTTCTTCTTCTTCTTCTTCTCTTTCTTCTATTTTTTTTTCCTTTTTTTGGCTCGTCATCCTTTCCCAGGAATCCGGTGCGAGTTGGTGAATCTGTGCGGACACTGATGGGCCAATCCTTCATGTTGATTTAAGCATGTTTCTTTATATATTATGAAGTGATTCGTGGAATTACGTGGCTGTTAAATAAAACTAAAACTAGATGAGAGAGAAAAAGAAGAAGAAGAAGAAGAAAAGAAGAGATAGAAAAAAGTAGTAGTAGAAGAAGAAGAAGAAGAAGAAAAGAAGAGATAGAAAAAAGTAGAAGAAGAAAAAAAAGAAGAAAAGAAGAGAAAGAAAAAAGTAGAGGAAGAAGAAAAAATACGCTCGTATCCCCATCGTCGAAAAAGATGAAAGAAAAAAGTAGAGGAAGAAGAAAAAATACGCTCGTATCCCCATCGTCGAAAAAGATGTTGCTCGAATATTTCTGTAGAGTATAATAACCTCCTCTTCTTCCCCATTTCCTCATTTCCCATTTCTTCATTCCCCATTTCCTCAACCCATATTTAGGGCCCATTTCCCTTATTCCTCATAGGTAGGGCCCCTTCCCCTTAACCCATATTGTTTATTGTTTTCTTTTTCTTTGTCTACTTCTTTGTCTTTTTCTTATCTTTATAATAATGATAATAATGAAAATGATGATGATGATAAGAATAATAGTAATTGGTATTATTGTTTTTATCATTATTATAATTTTCATTATCATTATCATTATTATTATTATTGTCACCATCATTATCAGTGTTAACATCATTATCATTATTATCAATATTATCATCATTATCATTATTATCCACAGTTTTAATATTATTATCATCAATATTACCATCACTATTATTATCATCAATATTTCTCATAGGTAAGATCCCCTTCCCTTAACCCATAGGCAAGAACCCCCTCCCCCCGCAGCCCACACTGTCCTTTGCTCCCTCTTCTGGCGTGGGCTCAAGCGTTCGGGCTCCCTCTTCGCTCCTGTCTCATCTCCCCACTCCTCCACTCCCCCACCCCCCACCTTCCCACTCCCCCTACCCCCACCTCCCCACTCTCCCCCACTCCCCCACCTTCCCACTCCCCCTACCCCCACCTCCCCACTCCCCCACCTCCCCACTCCCCCACCTTCCAACTCCCCCTACCCCCACCTCCCCACTCCCCCACTTTCCAACTCCCCCTACCCCCACCTCCCACTCACCCCACTCCCCCACCTTCCAACTCCCCCTACCCCCACCTCCCCACTCACCCCCACTCCCCCACCTTCCAACTCCCCCTACCCCCACCTCCCCACTCACCCCCACCTCCTTACGCACTCCCTCCCACTCACTCACCTCCCCGACCTCCCCACTTCCCCTGATATCCCCTCTCACTCCCTCCCACCTCCTTACTCCCTCCCACTCCCCCACTCACCCACTCCCCCCCTCCCCCCCCACCCCCCCACTCCCCCACCCGGCGTAAAAGAGACAAATAAACTTTGTGCTGGAACCCGTGACGAGCTTCGGAGTTTATTCCCACGGTTCTTTTGGAGCACCAGGTGTGGGGCTGGACTGTGGGTCGGTGTGAGGGTGTGTGTGTGTGGGGGGGTAGGGTTTTATGTGTGAGTGGGTGTCTGAGGGTGTGGGGAGCCCTCCCTCACTTCCTCCCCACCTCTCTCTCTCACCCCCTCCTCACCTCCCTCCCTCACCCTCTCCCCGTCCCCTCCCCACTTGGTGAATACCCTCCGCTTCCGAACCACCTCGAAACCTCCTCATGAAACAAACGAGACAAAACAAAAGAAAAAACGAAGCAAACAAAAAAAATCAACAGTCGCGACTTTAAAAAAAATGCATTGACTGATTTTGCTCATCATGGCAGCTTCGGAAAGTTGATTTAGCGAGTCCGTAATCACACGGCGCGGGGGCAATATAGTGTTATTCATTATATTGTATAATTATAGCACGGTCGGGAATATTTTCCGAGAGCGGGACATTTTTATTACATGATAATGACTTG